AAGCCAAAACGAGCTCTGCTATATAAAATTTTGCCGTATTCTCTGAAAAAATATCGTGACGAATCAGCCAGGATATCATATCTCCCCCAGAGCAATATTCAGTTATTATGTATAAATATTCTGGATCCTGAAATGTCACCACAAGATCCGTAATCCACGGACAACCCGCTCGTCTCTGACGTAATTTGGCGTCTGAAAGAAGATCACGTTCAGTGTGAATGTTAAGAGACTGTTGGCGTTGTATAATCAGGTCCTTGCGAATTTTTTTCATGGCGTATACAACTTCCGGGTCATCAGGCCTCCAGCATTGATAAACCTCAGCAAAAGAACCTCTCCCAATGACATCACCAACACAAAACTCATCCACAGAATGTTTTTTCTGACGAGCATGTGAATGCTCGATTGCAAAAGATTTCCTATCGCCCATCATACCACGAACATAATACTCGCCAGTATACTTTTTGGCAACAACAACCTTGGCATCTGTGCAAACCTTTGACTTGCCCTCCTCGGTCATATTTCCTTCCCTAATTCCTTTGTTTTTGTTGTTATTATTGTTCCTCTAGAAGAAATAAGACAGCTTAATATAAATATGCATAATAACAAAATATAAAGAGAGCGAAACCATTATAATCCCCAAACAATTTTTTTCATAAATTACCCACCACCACAGTTATAATATAATCGGTGTAATTTCCGAAACCCCCTTTTGAAAAAACTCAGAGAAGTTTCTTTAGTTTTTCCACTTTACTTTTTTTCATCATTTTATTCCTTGATCGATCCTTTTTAACTCCCCTTGGCCGTCGCAATTTCAAACTTTTCTTGAGGTTCTTTTGAACGTTTGGATTTTCCCATTCCAGATACGTGGCTTTTCTTATCTCCGAAGGAAGATGTATTAAACGGATATTTGCACCTTTCAGAAAAACACGACACTCTATTGAGAGTGAAGAATCACGCCTTTGACAACGCACATCGCTTAGTTCAACATCACCGTGAAGCATATCCAGGCGAGAAAGTTTTCCCGTATAAATGGCTCCGTCCACGGTCTCAACTTTAACAAAAAAACCAGTAGCATCCATCACCGCGCGAAACGGCGTTTCCTGCTCCTCCGCCATTTTTTTTCTAATCCCTAGAATTCCGACGCCAAGAAAAAATGGACCTTCGCAAATAACCAAAAAAAGCAAAAGTGAAGGGAGAAAAAAAAAGAGAAAAGCACAAACAAAGCCAACGCAAGAAAAAAAAAGAACGAGCTGCGGCCTCCCCGCGGGCCCGGAACACGCGAGCGCGCATCACTAAACCGTCCCACGACACGTCGCCCCCAGGTCTCCAAACCTGTCCGGGTCCCGCGCAAAACGGCCGCCGCCGTCGAGAAACATCCTTCGGGCCCTCCCTTTTTCTTTTTTTTTTTTTTTTCTGGTGTTGCCTTTGCTTGACCTTTTCTCTTTTTCTTTTTTTTTTCTTTTTCTTTTTTTCTTTTTACTCCGCCCTCGCTTCTCGAACCCATATCCTGCGAGCGCGCCCGGGAGGCTAGGGAGTGGAAAATTGCCTTTTTGCTCATTCGTTCAGCTTAGTCTTTCAATGACGTCATCGAGCCTTACGGAACCGCCTCCAAAGCAGGCGGCCACAGAACTGGTTTATGCGGAGGTGGTAGTTTCTTTTGCTACAGCCATTGGGCTGTTTGTTTTTACGGTGGTGCAACTTCTTTACCGCACAACACGACGCGCACGAAGATTATGGAGAGCTGAGAATCAAATTAGGTTTGATGGAGCTCATTTTTTGAGCAAACCAGAAGGAAATGTTGGAAGAAAAATTATAGAGATTGGCCTAAAAGAACATGAAAACAAAGAGGTGAAACCGCCCTCCTTTGTACTACCTGCAGTTGTTGCCAATGATCGAGATGTACGAGCGGATTGTTTGTCTATGCTTGCGGAAACGAGGCAAATATTCCGCAAACAATATGGTGATTCGGCCTGCCTAATGTCTATGCGGTGTTGTTTATCATGTGTCGAAAATGCGTTACCATCCAGCCAGACGGAGGATTTTTTGCGTCTTTATGAAAATGTTTTGTTTGGCCAACATCGTGTTGATGGAATTTCTGATAGTCTTACCAATGATGATATCAAATTTTTGTATGCTTTTTTTCATAATACAATATTGAAGGAAATTCAATAATTGTTATTGGGGAAATTTTCAGAAAAATATTCTTTGGGTTGATACATTATCTTATGTATGCTTATTATTTGCTGGAAAAGTCTCATTTATATATGCACATATGCATTTTTATCACCAACGTTTAAAGAATTTGCTTTTTTTTTTTTTTTCTTTCTCGTTTGTTATTATCTTAAAATACTTACGGGTTTGATATTTATTGTCTTTATTTTTTATTTATTTCATTTACTGATTTTTTTAAGGGCCATCTACTTCATGAGTGTCACAATCAAGTTGTCAAACGGTTCTCAAAAAACCGTTGAGGTCCCGGATTTGAATATAACAGTTGCAAAGTTTAAGGAAATCGCGTCGGCCGTCACCAACATTCCTGCCGATGAGCAAAGAATTGTACTACGGGGCAGGGTTCTAAAAGACGGCGATGTTCTTTCTGCTATGGGTATGGAACATGGACAAGCTGTACATATTGTCCGAGGTCAAAAAAGCACAAAATCGGATGTGGCTCCCTCATCCGCACAGGAATCGGCAAGTGTGCAGGAGACTCAAACAAATACGAATCCACAAGCAAGAGCAGAAACTGTAAATCCGTACGCGGCTTTAGCAGCGAATTTGCCTGCAAGTGGAGGTTTTTCTAACAACATCCCTGGAAATCCCAATCCCGGAATGCAGATGCCTCCTGAACTCCTATCAAACATGTTGCAGAACCCGGCGTTTATGCAGTATTTTCAAGAAATGATGAGGAATCCCCAGTTTTTACAACAAAGGATGCAACAACCACAACAACAATCCCAATCCCAATCCCCTTTTGGTATGAATGAAGGAGAAATGCAACGGCTTTTAAACAATCCCATGTTTATGCAGTTTGTCCTTCAAATGATGAGTGATCCGTCCATCATGCAGCAACTGACTCAATCGTTGGGTGGTGGTTTCCCGGCATCGAATACCCCTTTATTTGGACAACAAAATGCTCCGGCACCGAATTTTGCTCAAAACACGGGCTTTTTTCAGCCGCAAGGGGATCCTCGAGTTCTTTACCAATCCCAGCTTCAGCAGCTAAGAGAAATGGGATTTACAAATGAGCAGGCCAACCTTGCTGCATTGGAGCAAGCACATGGCAATATTGACTTCGCCATTGAAAGACTTCTTAATGCGTGAAAAAAATTTTTGAGAGTTTGAGATGCATGGGGAATATGGGTCTTTTTTGAATTTTTCTCGGAATTAAGCGAGTATTAACCCTCTTTAGTGCGTATTTGACTCTTAGAATTAAGTAAATGTAATGGTTTGCCTTGCATTATTTGGGCTTTCATTTGCTTAAATCTATTAGAATTTTAATAATATCAAATTAAAACCTTTTTTTTTCTTTTTCCTTTTTGTTGTTTTTTCTGTTTTTCGATTTTCGCTTTTGGTCGTTGTTGTTTGTTTGTTTGTCTATTTTTTTTTTTTTTTTTTTTTTTTTTTTTAGTCAGGGAAAGGGAAAAAAACTGCAAGTAAAAAAAAGAATTGAAGAAAGTAAAATGACTACTCTCACTACCTTGCCGAGCCGGCCGCTTTCTTCAAACACCCGAGAGCAGTTTGAACGATACAATCGTATGGATATTCTTGGAGAGGGAACATATGGTGTTGTTTATCGTGCAGTCGACAAAATCACAGGACAAATTGTCGCCTTAAAGAAAGTGCGATTGGATCGTACAGAAGAAGGAATTCCTCAAACGGCTCTTCGAGAAGTTTCTATTTTGCAGGAAATTCATCATCCAAATGTTGTGAACCTGCTTGATGTTATCTGCACTGATGGTAAGCTTTATTTGATTTTTGAGTATGTGGATTACGATCTCAAAAAGGCAATTGAAAAGAGGGGCTGTACTTTTACAGGTGTGACATTAAAGAAACTTGTTTATCAGCTTCTTGATGGTCTATTTTTTTGCCACAGACATCGAATTGTGCATCGTGACCTCAAACCTGCAAATATTCTTATTACGAGTGATAATGTTCTTAAGCTCGCCGATTTTGGTTTGGCGCGCACATTTCAAATTCCCATGCATACTTATACCCATGAAGTTGTCACGTTATGGTATCGAGCCCCAGAGATCTTATTGGGAGAAAAACACTATACCCCTGCCGTGGATATTTGGAGTGTTGGATGTATTTTTGCAGAATTGGCTCGAGGTAAGGTTATTTTTCGCGGAGACAGTGAAATTGGCCAGCTTTTTGAGATATTTCAAATTCTTGGGACGCCAATGGACAATGAGGGATCATGGCCTGGAGTATCTTCTCTTCCTGACTACCGCGATGTGTTTCCCCGTTGGGCAGGAAAACCACTTGCTCAGGTGATTCCGCAGCTCGACAGTGAGGCAATTGATCTTATTTCACGAATGCTCAAATATAGCCCCGCAGAACGGATATCTGCAAAAGAGGCATTGCAGCATTCGTGGTTCAGTGAAATTAGAACGTAGTTACTTAATGCATTATAGATAAGATTTTTCTTGTAGACGTTAGCCTGACATTTAGGCATTTTGTTCTTGTTTGGGATTTTTTGTGTTTATTATCATTATTTTCACCTGTTTCCAAGCATTGAATGAGCTAGATGACGTTTGACTTAGAGGGTTTTGTTCTTCAGTTGCCCAGTCATTTAAATGCTTAGCTTTTGATCTTTCCTTCTGAGTTTTTTGTTGTTCTTTTTTGTTTTTTGTTGTTTTTTTTTAGAAAATTAAATGCAATATTTTTGTGGTTTGTGTATATATAATTTGGTAATTTAAAATGCTTTTTTTCTTTTATTTCCTTTTTATTCCAGCATTTTGTTTTCGCTTTGTTTTGTTTTGTTTCATTATTTGGCACAGAAGGAAATGTCCAAGCTTTCCGAAGAGGAAGAAAAAATTGCTAGAGCTGCGCTTGAGGAAAATTATATATTGCGCCAGATGTTGCAAGAATCTGCTAATGGCGGCTGCGGTGACGAAGAACATAGTGGAACGAGTGTGGATAAAGTTGATAGTATATTTGCACTCAGGCGTGGAAATGAAATTTTGAAGGGGGAAATTGCAGACCTACAAAGTCAAATTGATGCCTCTGGCGTCAGCGCCGCAGAAACTGTTCACAAGTTTAATCAATTACAAAACAAAAGAGCGCAATTGCGAAATGAAAACCGAGGCCTAGAAAATATTGCGAATCATCAAGCACCAAAAGTGAAGGAGGTGAATCGTCTTGTTCTTAATCAGTTAACGATGAAGAGGTCATGTGATGAAAAAAATAGAGTCTCAAAGGAGGAAATAAAAAGACTGAAAGATATCAGAGAAAAGGAGATGGAAAAGCTTTATGTTACACTGCGTAAAGAGGCTTATCTCAAGGAGCAGCTTGAAAATGCCAATTTGGCGTCAAATAGTTCTGATAGTCAGACACTTAGGAACGCTATTCTCTCGAAAGATAAAACAATTCAAAAACTCGAAGAGGATATTGAGAGGTCTCGAACCAATCAAAGGAAACCATCTGACGATGAGAATGGATATAGCGAAGACAGTCTCGCAAAACTTCGCAAAGAACATGATAGTCTTCGCGAACAAGTTCAAACGCTACAGGCGCTACTTCAAGGATCACCCCAAAGGTAATTGGAAATATACGATTAGAAATATCCGGGAAATTATTATTATTATTATTATTATTATTATTATTATTACTATTATTATTATTATTATGTTTTAGTTGTTTTTGTTTTAGGCATTTGTCTTGGTGTGCATAATTTGCATATATATATATATATTACGTTGCTTTTATTATTATTATTATTATTTATTGTAAATATTCTTCTTTTTTTTTCGCGCCATATTTCTGGGAAATGTTAATAATTTGTGGTAACCAACTTTATTGCTTGGACCCCTTTTTGATTGTATGATGCGACACATTTTGTTGTTGATGTTGTTGTTCCAATTTTTTCATAATCATCTTTTGAGATATTTGAACCTATATCTATTTGTTTTTGGTTACTCTTATGTCTTTAATGTTTTTATTTCTATTATTATTATTATTATTATTATCATTGAATTATTTCTGTAGTGCCCAGCTTACAATCACCAATGAGAAGGTTTGGTATAATCTCTTTGCGTCAATTTAATGCAGTACGCTTTGCGACGCCTCAATTTGCAAAAAGTATTCACAGGCTGCGGAATGTCGGTATTAGTGCCCATATTGATAGTGGCAAGACGACTTTAACAGAACGCATTTTATATTATACTGGTCGAATTGGCAAAATTCACGAAGTAAAGGGGGGAACAGAAGTTGGGGCAACTATGGACTCCATGGAACTTGAGAAAGAAAGAGGAATTACAATTCGTTCTGCGGCAACTCACTGTAAGTGGAACGACTATTTCATCAACGTTATAGACACTCCTGGACATGTTGATTTCACCATAGAGGTTGAAAGAGCTCTGAGAGTTCTTGACGGGGCCATTATGCTTATGTGTGGTGTTGGAGGTGTTCAAAGTCAAACACTTACAGTGGATCGGCAAATGAAACGCTACGGTGTTCCTCGCATTTGTTTCATTAATAAACTTGACCGCGATAATGCAAATCCACAACGGGCGCTTAAGATGGCGAGGGAACGGCTGGGTATAAATGCCGCTTTTATTCAGATTAACATGGGGATATCACAGGATTTTGAGGGCGTTGTCGATGTCATTGAAAACCGTGCCGTATATTTTGATGGTGCCAATGGAGAAAGAATTCGGTTTGAAGAAGTTCCAGCATACCTCAAGGATGAATTGAAAACGGCAAGAAAAGAACTCATAGAAAGACTCGCTGAAAGTGATAGTGAAATGGAAGAAGTCTTTCTTAATGATAAAGAGCCAACTACGGAGATGATACATGCGGCGATTCGACGTGCGACAATTGCCAATAAGTTTATTCCTGTGTTGTTGGGTTCAGCCTATCGAAACAAAGGTGTACAACTCCTTCTAGACGCAATTTGTCGGTATCTTCCGTCTCCTATGGAAAAGGAAAATAAGGGTTATTTGCTGAAAAAGGTGAAAGATGAAGAGGGAAATATTTCCAATGTTAAGGAAGAAAAGGTTGACTTATTGACTGACGACGAAAAACCACTTGTGGCGCTTTTGTTTAAGCTGGAAGAAACCAAGAAAACAGGACTTTCAAATTATGTTCGGGTGTATCAAGGGAAAATGAGGAAGGAACACCTTTTAAACGTTCGAAGTGGTAAGACGTTTTTACCCCCAAAGCTTGTCAGAATGCATGCTGATTCCGCTGAGCAGGTGGACGAGGTTAAGGCAGGAGATATTTGTGCCATTCAAGGAGAAATTGATGCATCATCAGGGGACACGATTATGAGAGCGGGTCCAAAAAGCGGACTTCTAATTTCTTGCGAAGATATGTACATCCCTCCGCGTGTCATTTCATCTTCTATTAAGGCGAAGGATGATCGGGATCTGAATCGATTGCGTGACCGTATGGCTGCATTTATGCGCGAGGATCCCACATTTTTTTTTTATCGCAACTCTGAAACCAACGAAGACATTTTGGAGGGTATGGGAGAGCTGCATCTTGATATTTATGTGGAGCGCTTGAAACGTGAACATGGTCTGGAGGTTGAACTTGGGAAACCGACGGTAAACTATCGAGAGGTAATCACGGAACGAAAGGAGTTTGATTTTGTTTTCAAACGACAAAGTGGTGGCGCGGGACAGTGGGCACAATTAAAAGGATATATCGATGTTTTTCCTATTGATATGTCAATAGAGAAGGGCGTAAAAAACAAGGTCACTGTCAGTTGCTCCAACGGTGATGTTCGCGAATCCCTTCAGAAGTCGGTTATCAAGCAACTGGAGCGTAAAATATTTGTAAAGGGCGAATTGATGGGGGCACCGGTATGGGGTGTACACTTTCATCTTGGTGGTGGCGCTATGCATGAGGTGGATTCAACAGATATGGCGTTTAAAAATGCAACACAAGAATTGTGGGAAACACTATTACCAAAACTCAAGCCTACATTGGTAGAGCCATACATGGATGTGGAAATTGTTGTTCCGGCGCAGTGCATGACGGAGGTGACAACAGAATTTTCAAAACGTGAAGGTATTGTTACGGAAACAAGTATCAATGGAGCAGATGCAGTAATTCGTGGAGAGACGGCGCTGGACACCATGTTTGGTTTCATCTCCGATCTTCGGCGACTTACAAAGGGGCAAGGTGACTTTGGGATGCAATTTAAAGAGTACAGGCCCATGCAACAGTACAAAGCACAAATTCGCATGGACGAGCGCAACAAGGAAATTGGCCGTAAACTTTATAAACTCGCTGGGGAATGATCTTGAGCTTTTTTTTTTTTTTTTTGTGGAGTGGGGGGAAAATGAAGAAGGATTCTGTGTCGAGGAGAAGGTTAGAAGGAAATGAAATATTAGGTTAGTTTGGGAAGAGAAAAAACAGACAAGAAGAAACGGCGAACAAGAAAAGAATGCAAAAAAAGAAAGATTAGCAAATATTCCTGAATTTGTGTTCCTGCTTTATGGAAACACAACTCATCACATTTAGGGCGTTTCTGATTTGTTTTATTTGGATCATTTTGCGTTGGCGGTGGTGAATGGAAACGAAAAAAGATGGAGAGACATGCCTTGCCGTATTAAGCTTGCATATTTCATGACTTATTTATGCTCAAGTAATTGGGCTTTTTATTCTTCTTGTTCTTATTGTTGTCTTTTTTGTGATATTTTAAATAAGACTGGCTATTGAGTTGCTTTAAGGAAAAATAAGGGGAATCAATGATCATGTTTGCTCCACTCGATAAAAAGTTGGTGAAGGTGGGCATGCGAGTGCAAGATCGATATGGTCTTACTGGCACCGTCAAGTGGTTTGGCGAGGTTGATAAGAAAAGCAATCCACTTGTTGAAAAAGGAGCATATGTTGGTATTGAGTTTGATGAAGCCACACCGTCACCAATGCGCAATGATGGAAAATGGGGGGGAAAGCGTTACTTTACATGCGACCCTGGAAAGGGAGGATTTTTAAAGTCTAAAATGGTTTATCCAGAAGTAAACCCTACAGCTATCGTCGATCTTAGGCAACGCTATGGGAATAAAGTTGCAGATTGGTATGACTTTGAACTGGTAAAGTTTTGCATCGCCCGCAAATTTGACATGCAAGCAGTATATACCATGCTTGACAATCATCTTGAGTGGCTGGAGAAATTCAAGCCGTCTCATGACGAGTACTTTCCAGATTCCATGTGTGAAGATTACCCGTGTGGTTACGGTAGTGCATGCGACTACGACAACAACATTATATATTGTGAGCGCCCTTGTAATGCAGGAAGGTTAACAGCTAATGAGTACATGGAACGTTATAGTCCTGCTGTTATTATGCGTTGGCACGCTTGTGTCATGGAAATGGGAAAAAAGATCATGAAGGAAAGCAATTACAAATACAAACGTGTTTGTTACATTGTTGATCTTACCAACGTTGGCGTGAGCATGAGCCGTTCTTTTATTTCGTTTGGGCGAACCATAGCCTCGGTGGACCAAGCGAATTATCCTGAGCATTTGGGACGACTGTTCCTTGTAAACTGTCCAAAAGTTTTCACCTTGGTATGGAGGTTGTTGCGTCTTTTTATTGATGCAGAAACTAATAGAAAAGTCAATTTTGTCCCGCCTGGCGATGGAGTAAAGTACCTGAAGCAGTTTATGCCCGAGGAAGTTATCCCTGATTTTGCCGGAGGTCCCAGTAAGGCATGGCGGTCGAAGGGTAGTCGTGTTGGTTCAACCGATCCGCTTAATGCGTTCAAAGGGGTGACAGTTTTCCAAGCCGTTGCTTCAGATGGCATTCCGGACAGATTTGATGACATGGACGAAGAGGGACTTTCACAGGAAGAGAAAAAAAGCAATAGCAACGGCCGTTTGGACTCCTCCGGACCCAACTCTGAAGACGGTAACGTGAAAGATTCAATTTTATGAAGGCACAGATTTGTTGCTTTCGTTCCGTATTTGTTGTTGTTGAAGGGGGAGGGAGAGTTGCTTTTCACTGAATTCTCCTCACACACACCGATTAGAGTTTCAAAGAGGGAAAGAGAGGAAGAAAGAGAAACAGAGAAAAGAACGAGAGGAAAAAAAAAAAGGAAAAAAAAAAGGATGGACGAAAGTTTTTATAATGCGACACAATTATTTCTTTCTTTTTTCTTCCTTTTTGATGGAATCAAATGTTAATTTGTATGTTTTGGGTATGGAGTTAATTTGAGACTCTCACGCCACTTTTATCCCCTCCCAGAGCCCATGTTGTCTACATGTTCATGTATACATAAAAATAGTTTATTAATTCATCCGCATAAACGCTTTTGAGGCGTATTTTGTTTCTGGGTGCCAATAAAAGTAACGGGCGTTGTTTTTTTTTTTTTTTTTTTTTTTGTCTCTGTGTGTCTCTCTCTGTGTGTGTGTGTGTTTCTCTCCAACAATGGTGCCCACTTCTTGGACGTACTTTGGATATATCGGCCTGGCAATTTACTTTGGAGTGGTATTCTGAAGAGGGAAGTGGGAATAATATTATAACAAACAAACCAAAAACAAGAACTAAACAACAACAACTTAAAAAAAAAAAAAAAAAAAGATGCGATTACTACTCTTATGACCCTGTGCGTTTAAATAGTCGTGCTTTGAATATATATATATTTATTTATTTATTTATATATGTTTTCTTCTTTGTATTATAGTGACAGCAAA